AGTTTCCGGTCAGCTCCCTTATAATGAAACGTTTTGTAAAAAAAATTCCTTAACTACCACGGATAAATTTAATCACTCGTGTGTTTTAAAATCACCATCACTACCGAATGCAAATTTTATCGCAGTTACAATAAGTTTGTCTTTTTAATTTACCCCTGAAGAAAAGAACGAACATACCTTTGGTTAAAAGCAAAAACACTACGGTCCCTTCCTTGATGAATTTTCTCAACATCAAGAAACTAATTAGACAACTGGAAAGGTTTAGTATAAAAGTAAGTAGACACAATGTCTATATTATTCAAGGACACATGCTTGAATGAAGATATGCTGCCTATATATATATATATATCTATATATGTGTGTGTGAGCATGTATATATATATATATATATATATATATATATATATATATATATATATATATATATATATATAGAGAGAGAGAGAGAGAGAGAGAGAGAGAGAGAGAAAGAGAAAGAGAAAGTAGCCGAGTTGTTAGAACGTTCGCTTTCTGCCCATGAGACCCGGGTTCGAATCAATCTAACTACTGCTGATTTGAAAAACAGGAGAATTCCTGACGTTATCGGTCTGGAGTAGGGAACGATCCCAGCGTGCGGCACCTTTGGAAATACCTTGAAAACCATACCACGGGTTGACCCAAACCTTGTGCGTGAAATTGGGTAGACGGAACCCTTGGGGGCTGTCGACAGCTGTGCTAGCACGATTTCACAAGTCATCGTGACCGAGGGTTTGAGTGTCCTGGCGTTGTTCAGATTGTTGATCGAGCTAGATAACACGCTCTCTCCCAGAAACTGTAACTAAGGTCTGCTCAGTGTGTGCGTGTGTGTGTCTGCGCGTGTGTGTGTCTGCGCGTGTGTGTGTGTGTGTGTGGTAATGTTAACGGTAATAACAACCGTTTCCCTACAAGGAAACATTTGGCATTCATTAACCGAGCCACCATTTATAAAAAAATTCATAAATTCTTTCTTTCTTCCTTTCTTTCTTTCTTTCTTTATTTATTTCGTAATTTCTTTCTTTATAGATAGATAGATAAGTAGATAGATTGGTCAAAAAGTATCGGGACTGGTGATATAAAAAAATACTACAACAGATATCAATGTGGCATTGAATCTGCTATGACGTATTTTCTCTCCTGAAGCCACACCCATTATCCTGGAACACCCTTTTTGGGATACCGAGCTGCTGTCTCGTCTTATTTTTGTTCCTTTGAAGTGGGATTTGATTTTTTGAAGAGAAAAAGTTGCAAGGATCGAGGTTTTTGGAATATGGTAGTTTTCGGACCCAGGGAATGTTTTACTTGTCCAAAACCTGCTGCACAAGCCGTGGTCACTGATGGAACCTCTGCGGTGTGATGAAATGACTATACTCTACGCACATTCCTTTCAAGCACTGCTATAAACAACGGAAGTGAGCAAAAATGTTATAACTGGTTGGGCGACCATGTCCGTCAGTGTCAGTCGGTGCCAAACGGCTTCACCCTCCGAATTTTATCTTCGTTACCATAGCAACAGTCTCGACAAATTTTGACCAGATCTCATATATGTGTGTGTGTGTGTGTGTGTGTGTGTGTGTGTGTGTGTGTGTGTGTGTGTGTGTGTGTAAATATAAATGTGAACATTGAATTCAACATCAAAGTTCAGAGCAGATAACATTAGAAAGATTTTAGAGTTCCATGAAAATAAGTGGATACAACGTTTAAAAACACACTATCCAGCCGGGCTAAACCATAAATTTAACAATATAGATAGTATTAATACATAACCCTACAAATCAAAACCTACCCACATTTCTCACCCACACAAGACAGACATGCTTACGGAGGTGTCGAGTCCTCACACTTATACACACACCCACACGAACATACACACTTACACACATCATACTCACTCACTCCCTAATGAGCCAAATGATAACACACACCCACAGCAATATACACGCTTACACATATCATACTCACTCACTCCCTAAGAACCAAATAACACACATGCACACACTTAACACATCCCCTCTCCAGGAACCAATAAAACTGTCAAACTGACCAGGGGAATTCAGAGTAGCATGGATCCATCCAGCTCTTATCTCAAATAACAACTTAAAAGAGACTGTTCAGTCAACACAAGAAATGGTAAAAGATTCATGTTAAAAAGATAAAAAAAAAAAAAATGAAAACTTCAGACAAAAGTTCATTTTCTCCATCAAGACATTCATTTCTGTAGTTCACTGCTACCAGCAAGCAGAAATATTTCTTCTCCTGAGGATGGCCATTTTGGCCGAAACTAGCCGAGGAATCTAAATCAAATAATAATAATAAAAACGAAAGAATATTATTCTACAACCCAGTGTGTCTGAAGATTTTAATTTTTTAATATTTTTTATTGTTCAATATACATATATATATATATATATATATATATATATATATATTAGTGAATATAAATAATAATCAATCGACGTTGGATATTATGGATATTCACTAATATATACTTATAGCTTTTTCTCATAATATTGAGTACTGTATTTATAACACCTGTGAAATAAATATATTTATACATAAGTAAAATCTTTCGCGCGGGTATGTATGTTTTTTATCATACACATACATATATATTGAAAACCTAATTAGGCAAATTTCTTCAAATGTTCAGAATTGCTATTTTTCTACTGAGATGCATATTGTATTTGGTAGTAGATTGATTCTATCTTCTAGTCGTAAGGACGTTCTTCTCCCTTCATCAAGTAAGTTCTGTAGTTTATAAGTATGATTGTAGCTGCGTAGTTAGTTGCATGGGGAGAACTACTCAGCGCCTTGATACTCGAATTAAACATGTTTCATTGAAAATCAGGAACCATATCTGGCAACGAAATGAACTCATTCGCAATACTTATTGTTGCTCAATTTGCTAACATCTGATAAATGGCAGAAAGTGTGCCATGGAATTTAGTGAGGATTGGTTCTCCATTTTAGCCAATTCACATTCACTTCTTCATTTGAAAGTACCAGAGTCGGCTTTTTATCAGATCTCGCAGACACTCGCCGTCTAAATAGCGAGATTGTTTGTTAGGCCTTGCTGTGATCAGTTTCTGGTAGTCTCTTCCCTCTTTTCCCATTCCCATTATCGACTAATTCATATCTCATATTTATTATATTTTACTTCAAATTCTCCCGATAAAAGAAGCTTTGATCAGCGAGAGCGAAACCCGGTAGCTTTTCCCTCACTTTTATTTTTTTATCCCTCATTATGCCTTGTAGTGTTAAACTCAATACTTTTAAAGCAATACTCAAGTTCTGTACCACTAAAAATCTGTTTACACACGCACACATACACGCACACACGCACACACATATATATATCTATATTTAGGAAAATGGATTAAATCAAACAAATTTATTTTTAAACATTATTTAAAAAAAATAACGTTTAAACAAATAAATTATATATGTGTGTGTGTGTGTGTGTGTGTGTGTGTGTGTGTATATAAATATAAATATATATAATTATTTATATATTATATGCGCGGTACTTATTAGAAAGCGCTCAATATCAGAGATAGAGCTAACATATTTGGTTGGATTGATGTGAGTTTGTGACCCTGGGTTTCACGCTTTAGCGATCGTCAGACAAACTGATTAATTTTTTTTAAATTTTGGGTTTATGTAGATTGCGTGTATTGGTGTTATTATGGAAGTGGGGTGGGGGATCGTGATGTCACTCATGCTAACGCAAACATAGATGCATGTCCGTACACCTGATGAGGTACGCAGACTCACTCGCTCGTCCGCCGGGGCTCATACAGACATAAACATGTGGACAGTATATATATACTGAAATTTTAAAATGGAATATATATATATATATATATATATATTGAAATTTGAAAATGGAATATATATATATATATATATATATATACTAAATTTGAAATTTGAATATATATATATATATATATATATATATATATATATATATATATATATATATATATCAATAGAGATTTTTGACTTCCAGATTTCAGTATTAATTAAAGTACTTTATAAAAACTCATAAAATCCTATAATTAAATTGAGATTCCATTTTATTTTTTATGGGAACACTTCAATTGATATTCTCAACGAAAAATAGTTCTCTATAGGTACAGTAGAGTAATGGATAGCGGCTCGGATTGAGGAATTGGAGAGCCGAATTCGAATTCCAATCGAATACGCACTAATACCCTTGGGAAAGATATGAATCCTCTTCTTCTTCCCCCAGCTATGGGTAAATAGCAAGATAGACCGGATTCTATTCCCTTGGATGGTAGAAAGAAATGGCAACCTGCTGCGGAAAAAATCTGCCTCGTCAGTCATGTATCGAAAGATACATGATCGCCTAAACGTGTATGACGCATGGCACATAACTGACTGATGGTTCACCTGAATGAGATAATATTACGAGTTAAATTAACTACGCTAACGATTTTGTGGTTAAGTGCTAAACGATGTCCCTTATGTACTCTGCTTCCTTTAGTAATACGCCACTGGTTTAAATCTTGTTCTCCGCTTATTGCTGGGTCTTCTACCGGCTTTCAAAACAATTTTATTTACCACTAGTGAACTGCCATTATTCTTCTTGGCTTACACGTTATTTATAATGTGCGTACACAACTTTCCAGTCCTCACACATAAAAATTAGTTTTTCGTTGGAAACATTTGCACATATCTATTAATAACAAAATGCTAAGACAGATCCAATCTTCAACTCTCGTAAGGTGTAATCTGTGTGAAACCGCTTATTCAAAGGAACTACGGACTAATTACAAAATTTTAAAAAAACTGGGTTTCCGCCTGAAAAATTTGCACACATCCAATAATTGAGCAGTAATTTCTATTATTCCTCTGCCATTTTGTTACAAACAAGACGCTTACCATAATAAATTGTAAGAAAGAATTATAATTCTTGTATCATATGGGAAAATACTGACAAAAATGTTAAGTTTACAACACTAAGAAAGAAAGAAAGAAAGAAAGAAAGAAACAAACAAACAAACAAACAAACAAAGAACAAAAAGAAAGAAAGAACGAAATAAAGAACGAAAGAAAGAAAGAAAGAAAGAACGAAAGAAACAAAGAAACAAAGAAACAAAGAAGATAAGAAAGGAATACAGAAAGAAAGAAAGAAAGAAAGAAAGAAAGAAAGAAAGAAAAAAAGAGAGAAGAAAGAAACAAAGAAAAAAAAGACAGAAAGAAACAAACAAACAAACAAACAAACAAAGAAGAAGAAAAAGAAAGAAAGAACGAAACAAAGAACAAAAGAAAGAAAGAAAGAAAGAAAGAAAGAAAGAAAGAAAGAAAGAAAGAAAGAAAAAAAGAGAGAAGAAAGAAACAAAGAAAAAAAGACGAGCGAAAAAACGAACGAAAGAAACAAACAACAAAAGAAAAAAGACAGAAAGAAAGAAACAAACAAACAAACAAACAAACAAATAAACAAAGAAGAAAAAAAAGAAAGAAAGAACGAAACAAAGAACAAAAGAAAGAAAGAAAGAAAGAAAGAAAGAAAGAAAGAAAGAACGAGATAAAGAAACAAACAAGGAAGGAAATGATTTGGCAGATTGAAAATACAAGAAAAACCACAAGGAATCAGAAAGTCTTTGAGGAATGGATAATCGGCAGTTAAAAAACAAAGATTCAATAAAAATGAGGAAGAAAAATCAGTGAATAATGTCAGATGACTGTTGAACTTTTAAATAAAAAATTCCACAGAAACACTCCGCACCCCACCGAGTATGAAATGGCAAATCATTTTCATTCAACTTTCACTTTCGATTTTGCCGACGTTGCTTTGTTCAATATATATATATATATATATATATATATATATATATATATATGACGTATGCTTGCTATCGAGTATAAAATAGGTCAGATTTTGCAAATTATTTATTTCCTCTACTAAATATACTAGGTACCCAAATAAGTTCGTTCTCAGGGTAGAGCTTCTTACAGATTAAAAATTTATTTATTTCCTCTACTTACTAGGGACCCAAATAGGTTCGTTTTCAGGGTGCAGCTTCTTACAGATTAAAAAAATAACTCTTTGGACAGACCGTTACCTACGAAATAAAACCGTGCAAATTTTATTCTGGTTGTAATCCCCTGCTGGAGACGAGCGAGGCATAAGTGAGGGTAGTTGAGATGGGGTGACAGGCTAACGAGTATGTCTCCCATTTGGCATCGCGGCGAGCAGTCTCTCGTCTCTTTCTGTCCGCTCTATGTTAACCTCTGTCTGTTTTCGGTGCCAGTGACCCCTGTCTTGTAGAGAACAACGTTCATTGTCTTGTCATCTTTGCATAAAAATGTAATTTATCAAAAACCCAGAGTCTGACTTCATTCAGTGACCTCCTTTCTCAGGATCGTTTGGCATGGTTCTTGTAAGGTCCACTCCACTTAGCTGATAATCATCAGAACAATAGCTGTCATTAAGAATTTTCCATTTAACAAGATATCGACTGACTAGGATATCGCTAGATATGCTAAGGCAAATGAATTTAGGAAATTTTAAATAATTCTCAGTTCTGATAATACTTTCGCACTCCTTGGAAAGTTGAGTTCTTTTGTGTTTTCATCAGACTAAAGTAATGTTCTTATTCATGGAATTATATAGGATAAAATTGATTAATTGTCGTTTAAGTTACGCAAAAATGAAAATAACACTGACACCTCTTTTTTACAGATATTTTTACTAAAATTCCACAAAAATATCTTGAAATACTAATGAGTAAATTTATTCAGTAAAATCGCCATTGGCTACAACCACGGCCTCCAAACGGCTTCATCATTTCTGGACGGTCTCCTTATTTAAGTAGGTGAATGCTGCGATAATCCTTGCCTTCAGTTCATCTTTGGTGTTACAAAGAGTTTTGCTGGTCTCTCGCTCAACTGCACTCCACACGTAATCAAGAGGGTTGCAGTCTAGGGAGTTATGTGGCCAGATGTAAGCGGTGATGTAGTCGCAGAAATTGTCTGACAGCCATGACTGGGTTCTCTCCTGCTTGTGTGGCATGTTGCAGAGTCCTGTTGCCAAACATAAGGTCTTCCAGCAGCCACTCTCTTCACCCAGGGCAGCACTACCTCCTCGAGGCACTTGATGTAGGTCTCCGTGTTGAGTCTGAAGCCCTCGCCAACAAATTCGGTTGTTCTTTTCTGTTTTTCAAAACGATAAGAATTTGTTTTCCGATCTGCCGTAGCTTCGTAATCACCATTAGACTCATCAAACCCTCTCGGAATCTTCTGCACTGTCCTCAGATTGAGACCGAACACACACACGGGTGTGTTCGTATTAGAGCTTCCGGGGCTGATACCAAGCAATACAGCCAGATTTCTGACGGAGTGAATTGCGTCATCGTGCTATTTTTCTCAATGACGGTACCCAACTGACCCTACTATACTGTGCTGGCGACAAAATAAAAACAAACAACGCGCATGCGCAAGATTAAAAGTATAAAATGGCGACAACTTACCCATTGCTTCCGGTATGTAGGAAGTTAGGGAAGCGATATAAATATAAACGTCAGTTTTAATTATGCACTGAGGGAAGTCCTGGAGATATGGGAACGTTAAATATTATATTTTTGTGTTTAAAGATTTTTTTTTTAATTTTAATTTTATTATCATTATTATTATTATTATTATTATGTTTCCCGACGTGTTTGGCAACACGACTCACTTCACCTCATTTAATTTCCCTAAGGTTTTGTTTTTATCTTTAAGTATCCCACCTTGTAATAACAGAAGATCTGCCAAGGAAGTTATAAGACACCGGACGCAAATTTAGCCTGGATAATTTAGCAATCGGAACACTTTCTATACATTTTCGCCTTAGTAAATTGCTTTCTCTTTTAATTAAAGCAAAGTTTAAACCGAAATTGTTGTCAGACTAATTAAGGTGAGCGACCAATGCAGTGAGTTAGTCGTATTGTAACAGATACTTTTTGTAATCTTTTATTTAAATTTATCCTGGTCTCTCCTATGTATTTCTTGTGTCAATCACAGCAAGTTACAGAGCAAATCCCTACATTGTGATGACAGATCAGCAAAGAAACGGGAAATGTAATAAGAAGCTGGACGCAAATTTAGCTGGACCCAAATTTATGGTTAGTCTCGTTCCGATGAATGACTAATGGATTAAATTAGTTGTTTTGTAAAAAATCTTTTTTGTGTCTGTATAATCTTTTCTCTAAATTCTTCGAGGTCTCTTCTATATATTTTTTGTAGCAATCAGTGCAAGTTATAGAGGAAATTCCTGCTCCAGGTTTTAGGTTGTTATTTTTTATTTTGTTTTTTATTAAGTCTCTTATTATTTTAGAAGTAATTGTACCAATTTTAATGTTAAGTTTTGGTTATTTTATTTTTTTACAATAATGTTCTCTCTGTGCAAGACACAAGAGTCACTTGAGATAAATGACTACAGAGTAAGAGACATGCGGATAAGTGTTGAAGATAATGACTAACCCTAAATCTTTAGAATTGTAGTTGTGATAGAGTAGGTAGGTAGTATAATCTCGTTTCATTAATTTTTTTATATCGTCCTTTTTATATTTTTTTAAAAATTGATGAGTTTCCTCTTCCCGCGTTAAATATATCATAGTTAGGATATTGGAGGAGCTTAAAAGTATTTTCAATGTATTTCTCGTCATCATTATTTATTAAGTGCTCTTAAATAGATGCCAATAATTATTCGGGACATTATTTCACTGTTATGGTGAAAATAGAAATTTATGAGATCATTTTCATTAGTAGATTTACGATAGTTCTTGGTTCTTATCAGCACATTTAACATGATATCGAGGAAAGGTCAAGTGTTATTTCTTTGTGTTTCATAAGTAAATTCTATCATACATTCGACTTTATCACCAAGATCAAGTTTACGGAGATATATTAATAAAACACCATTATCATGTTGAAAAGATTCTGATTGTTTAGGTATCATAATTTGGAAAGGATCGGATTTAAGAAATTCTCAGAACAGACAAGCTAAATTCATTTCCTCAATCAAGATCAGATTTGGGGTCAATTGTGAAGATTTGTCCTTATCGTGTCCTTTGTCATATCTAACCAAGTTTAATCGCCTGCTAAGGAACGGTTATTTAGGATGATACATTCTTCATTACAATTGGTTCCCCCAAAACGGAAATTACTTTTTACCTCAACCTAATAGTTAAAAAAGTAATATGAATATTTTTTCTTTGTAGCTACCCAATTTTCAATATAATTTAACAAATAAAACTAGAATCGTATTGTTCCCAATAATACGAGTCAAAAAAGCATTGTGTTATTTATTGTTTTATCTTTGTGAAAGGATTGTGCCGCTGTGTAATACTTAGCTAGCTTGTTTAACCTAATATCTATTTGTAGTTGAATTCTAACTGGATCACATGTGCTAATGATGATCACACATTATACTAAGCTTAGTACATAACTTAATATAGTAAATAGGCTTTGCTCTCAATTTCACCCCAGACCAAGGAGGATAAGTGCAGGATTGAACTGAAATTAACTTCCAAGTGGTGGGTGGAGATTCTCGATTCATCCGATGCCATTAGCGACCCCAATAGGTGAACATGCGTGGGGCTTAGCTACGCATGCCAACGGCACGCATGAGAAAAACTGTTGAGCGGATAGATATTGTTATGGGAACCTACCCATAATAACATAATGGACTATTCCATACGTAATAAATACTGCGCCTCAAGAGGAAGCAGGAGAGTTCAGCCCGAAGTCGGACGTCCGGCTGATCGGCTGATCGGTTGAACTATCTGCCTTCGGGCGGGGACGAACCCGAAGGAGGCTACCCCGAAGGGCGGATTCTCTTTTGGGGAGGTAAACCGACCCTGAACCCGTTTATACGGGTTCAATGGGCATATTTTTGGCCGAGCCCAGGGGGTCGGAGATCCCACGTTAAAAAGGCTTTGTGCCACATGACGCCCTCGTGGGAGGGTGACTGAATATCGTTCAGCCTGAAGTCTGGATTGAGGTCTGTCAGAAGTCCGTCAGGAGTCTGTCAGTCGAGTCATAGGCAGTCCGAAACAGAGTAGCGTTCAGACAATTACTACAAGACATTGGAATAGTGATACTGGTCGAGACTACATTGTTCTCCCTACTAAACCTGATTGTTCATACTAACACTTCTACTTCTCTGTATATATTCCTGTTTGTAATATATCTGTGTTATTCCATATCCGTGTTCGAGTTCTTCTTTATTGGTTCTACCTTGGACTATCACCGTGCTACAACGACCTTTGGACCATAACAGATATATAAACAACCACCTCCAGAGCATTGGGGCAGACTCTCAGAGATCGCAGATGAGAAAATAAGGTCCATGCTAGGGTGAAGGCGCCACGTGGCCTGAAGACCCCCCCACCTCACTCCTCTCCGTTGCTCGATGGAAATTAACGAAATATTAGAGTGATATAAAATGTTAAATACTAAAGTTTCAAATTCTGAGTTATCATTAATATAGCACAAAGGATATTTCTCTAGCAATGTATTCTGAGAGAGAAAGATTCTAGAAATGTCAGCCGAGAAATGTCCGCTTGGGAGAAAGGAATCTCGTAACGATAACGAAAAATAAACGATTATTTACAGAA